AAAAATCCTTTTTTAAGTGTGTGATTCGTTCGAGTTGCAAGACTGACCGATGCACATCGCTCCAATTTTCTAAAGCACGGCGAAAGTGCACGCATCTTAGTTGGTTTGTTTCTCGTTTCCACGCAGCAATGGAACGAGACAAGACCGGAAAAACAGGCAAAAGGGGTTTCACGCCGGGCATGAAGCTGGCAGCCGTTATGCTGGTGCAACAAGGACTTACAAAGGCGGCGGTGTCTCGGATGAAGAACGTCCCAAAATCAACTTTGCGGGGGTGGTGTATAAACTATGAGAAAGTCAAAAGGCAAGCCACCCCCGAAGAGCAAATGAAAGCAATTTTGCAAGAGCAAGCGAGCATTTGCGAGACCACTTCTGAAGAGGCTCCTCTTGCTAAGCACCAGAAACTCAATGAGGAACCCTTAGATTTGAGTTTCAAAACGTGCAACCCGCTTACCACCGACTTCCAATCGACTACTTAGGGCAAATCATGAGTAATTCTGGATGCGTGACTCCGTTTTTTGCACCATCTCAACCGGACGTGAACCCACTCAGACCATGGCAGCTACCACAACTTCCCTTCCAGCAGCTCAATTTTGCAGGCTGTGCAAATGAAGACGCTGCCATGACTGTCCCTGCCAAAACCCGAGTGTTAAGAGAGGTACAACGCACCTATCCTGGACTGCCCGTCTTCGGGTACGATAATAAGTTGTTGCAAGAAAGTTCCTCAGAGGTGCACAATCGGAGTTTTGTGGCCGTCCTCGAATATTCGTTCCTGGTAAAAGACCTACCACTAAGAAGTTAAAGAGCGAAACGATGACGCGTGAGATCCCGAAGACTGGAAATGTGAGAGTTAGTGAAACTTCCGCAGTGGGAGACAAGTGCTTGAGTGAAAACTCTGTGAAAGACGCTTCCCCTGGAAAGGCTCTCAAATCAGATGAGGTCTTCTTAAAAGATGGGCAACCATGCTCTAACCCTTTGCTCACCGGAAGAGAGCTGCAAAAATTTGAGGAAGTGATTGCAAACATTTGAGGAATTTCACCTCCATAATAAAACGAATAATGTTGTAAATCGTAGATGTACATTACGTAAATATAATAAAAACGCATTTGTTCATATTTGTAAATAGATATTGTAAATATGTGTAAATATAGGTATATTTCCAAGTAGTAAAAAATGTATGTATATATTTAGATTAGTTTAGATTTAGAGTATTTTTGTTGTGTTAATGTGTTAATTATAAAAGATCTGAAAAAATTTTGTTTTTCATTTAAAAAAGTGATCAAGTTTGATTGCCACTTGTTGCGACAAACCACCATTCCGACCTTCCAACCCTTGTTTTGAATATTTCCTACTGAAGCTCTAGCAATGGTTTTCCTAAATCACCCAGTAAAAGTGCTAAGTATGAAAGTTGTTTATTATTATGCACATTTGCAAATTCCGAAATTTTCCGAAATTAAATTTGCCGTACGAAAAACACCGTACAATTTGAAGTGCGGTTGAACAAAACATCGTAACTTCTAAACCACATAGATTAGCTAACTGAAATCTTTACACCACAAACAAAAAGGTTTTTATCAAAAATCGGAGCAAAATTGCACGAAAATCTCCATTTCTGCGGAGTTTTCAGAAATTCTTCAACTTGACGAGTAATTAAAAAGCCGCACAACTTGAAGTGCATTTAAACAAAAATTTGTAACTTCTAAACCAATTACATCAACAAACTGAAATGTTGGCACCGTAAACTAAAATGTTTTATCAAAAAGTGGACCAATTTTCACAAAAATCCTCAATTCTGCTGATTTTTCAGAAATTTTCAAACTTGATGAGAAATTAAAGAAATCCCAAACCAGTCACATCAAGAAACTGAAATTACTGAAAAACAATTACATCAACAAACTGAAATTTTCGCACCATAAACAGAAAGGTTTGATCAAAATGCTGACGAAATTTCACTAAAATCCCCAATTCTGCTGATGATGCCAAGTTTCTTTTTCTTCCGTTATTCGGACATTTAAAATTCGAAAAAATGAGATTGTTCAGAGCGGAAAAGTGTTCAAGTCTGATTAAAAAAATCAGTAGCTCCATTTTTCGAGGAATTTTTGAAATGTGCAAAATCTATTCGAAAGGGAAAAACTTTGGGTTTCTTCCTGGTTTTGCGAATTTTTAATGAGCGGATAAGTGTTTTGGCTGTTCAGGTTCAACCTTCCTTAGAGAGAAACGCTTGAATTTTCGTTATCTTGAGAATTTTTTGTGATTTGAAAAATGCATTAGAAAGACCGAGTGTCTGTTGGTTTTGGCTTTTTTTGTAACTGTACATGTACTTATGAGATTTTCAAAATACGTTTGCAAGATTAAGAGCTTCTCAGACAGATTAAGAAAAATGCACAAAAAATGAGATCGTCCTCCGCGAAGAAGTGTTTTGAGTTGTCCAAAAAATGTTTGTAAGTACATTATTTTGGGGAATGTTTGAAATGTGAAACGTGCCTCAGAACGCGGAAAACATTATCTATCTTACAATTGCTGCTAAGTTTTGATACTTAAAAGATTGAACTTGTTATGAGCGAATGAGGGTTTAGTCGTTGAAGTTTCAACTGTGCCCTGGTAAAAACCCGATTCTTTGCCTTGGGGGAATTTTAGCAATTAGAAAATATCTTTATTTACTGCCCAAAGGCTCCAATTAACTCGCATCATGCAACATCCAGGTTCATTCCAGAAACATACAGTTATCGAGCAGTTTCAAAGTGGTCGAGAATGTCCAACATCGGGTGACTGTTCACGTATTGCACGATCGCCTCATATCTAAAAAACGCACTGTTTTCCAACTGATTCGGAGTTAAAATAAAGTCAGTAAGTACCTTGAAAAGGACAAATCTTTGTGGCGAGACAGTCGAATTTCCAATGTCCTCAAATAGAAGATCAGCTCGTTGACTTCCTCAAAGTACTTTGCTTCGGCTTCCGGGGAAATTCTTTCGTGGTTCTCAGTATACCAGGACTGAATTTCTTCGATTCTATCTGAAGTCTGCACAGATTCACTCTGGAGTGTTAAGCAGAATTTGTTGTCTGATCAATAAGCAAAACCTTTTCAAACTGATGTTGAATGTCGTTGGCTCTGGCGACCAACAGGTGGCGAAACTCGTCCAAACAGGAGTATTTCACGTCCAGAGCCTGCTGGTAGGTGAGTGCATCGGGGTTGCCCAGGCGCGCCAAGTAGGGGCCCAGATAGTCGATCTCCTCCTCCACCTCTTTCTCCTTGTACATGCGCTGCTTCTCCTCCTGCTCCAACATGCCGCTGCGGAACTCCTGGTTTTGCTCCCGATTGAACACCGACACGTCCAGCTTGGAAAAGGCCATTTCATGCGCCCGAAGCAGTAGAAGTTCGGAGATCTGCACAATGGATGAAAGCTGCTGACTTCCTTCTTACTTCAACTGACTTCGGACAGACTTTACCTGATTTTCAAAGTCCC